CATTCAGTGTAAATATTATGTCCTTTTTATGCGAAATATTACGTCATTTCATATTAAAACTTACGGATGTAATATTATGGCGGGAAAAGTTTCCTGATGATTGCGAAATCCCACAAAGACCAAGCCTATTGGAAGTATTGAATAGCATTTCATAAAAATGTGGTAAATAAATATTTTTTTTAATGATAAATCCATTACATTTTTTTTAGTAGTATCGTACAACCAATTATTCAAATTATTGTATTAGTATCATTTCAATTTTACAACCAATTCATGTTTTGGAAAACCCAATATAAATTTATTTATTTTTAAAGAAATAATTTGTAAATTTATGATAATTAAATAATCATTAAATTCTAATATAAATATTATAAAAAAAATTTTAATGGAAAAATTTTTATTTAATAAATTTACAACACTTAACAAGACGTCAAACAACACCACGTATTGTTTAATGTTAAAAATGGCATCGATCATTGTCGTGTTTATCATATTAAATTTACAGCTTCTATCAACATTTTTTTAATTTCCTGATGAATAATGTAGAGATTTCCCTAAAATGATCACTTATAATTTTTTTTGTATTCTCTATTTTTTTGCTGTGTTTTTCTTGCACCATTTTAAAAGTTCAAACCCAGGATATTGAGATATGATGCAACAACATGATAAAGTAAATTCTTTTGTACTTTAATCACCACACATGTACCAAGTCTTTAATGTAATTTATGATATTGAAAATAATCTTGCTTCAAAATATGATCATTTTGAATGGAATAATCATCAAGAACATTGATAAAATAATTTTATTTGTATTGTTATGTAAATGATAATGATCAAACAATACATTTAATCTCAATTAATTATTAATCTTTATTTTGGAGACCTATTTTCAGCAACCCATGGTTCTTTACTTGAATCATTCAATTTCTCTTCTCTAGCTATCTCAATGTAGCATTTATAAATATCAACTGTTTCTTTAAGGATATTTTATTTATGTCAAATTGAAGTAAATTTAGATTAATAAATACAAAAGAGAATCAATTTTCTGTACTTACATGGACATTTAAAATAACACTGCAACATTTGAGAGCTTGGTGGATTTCACTGATGATCAGTGGAATGTCAAAATAATCTATATCTGAAACACCATACCACTTTGAGTAAAGTGCTGCTGATAGTGCAATCAGCAATCTAGCTTCATCAATTTCTTTTTATTTACCTCTAGGAAGAAGGGTTCTGTCAATGATTTGGAGCATATCACAAAGATTTTTCTTGGATTTTACAAAGTTTGATGACATCTTAGTTTTATTTCCAATTTTGGTGCCAGTGTTCTCAGACAAACCTAATTCATGGCCCTAATAGGTTTCTTTTCCAAGATCATGAACCTTGGTGGAATAATAAAATATCAAAACTAAACAACATATAACAACAGAACCACAGCCAATCTTAAGCAAGGCAAAAGCAACTTACTGAGAAAAGCCAATCAAACCTACTACCCTCATCTTTATTAGTCCCATTTGATGCGTATTCCTGAACATAATGGATGGTCATATCCTAGATCTTCTATTTTTATCTTGTGTAACTCATTTTCAACAGCTTTCCACATTGTTTTCTCTTCCCCAAATGCTGACATTGCGACCTTATGAACCTCATTTGTCAATGTTTCAAAATTTTTTGTTGCATTAACAACCCATGGATCTTCCACATTCTATAGATAAAAAATATCCACTATAAAATTAAATGCACAAAGTGAACAGCTCTGCTGATAATAAATATGACTGGCTATTAATTCACCAAGCATTTAATTCTAATGATGAACAAATATAATCAAATGCCTCAGAAATCTAGAAAAAAGAAAGATGAAAAATTAGTAATTGAAAATATAAAAGATAGATAATCAATCATATATACAAAAGGTTAACAGTTATTAACCAAAGTCATTATCACATATTGTGTTAAAATTGGTTGTTGTGAGACTTTAACCAGCCAAAGAAAAGCAAAGTAAATAAAAAGGTTAAAAATTCTATTTATAACTTGCTTCATGTGTATTTTTTTTTTAAAGACAAAAAAATTAAATTTGCTTGTTTATTTTTGAAAAATATTAACTGTTTTTTTGTTTCATTTTAAATAATGAGTAGTTTGCAAGTATTTTCATCATTACTATTATTATAAGCCAATATCATTGTTTTTGAAAACATACTAACTGTTAATTTTTATTTTATTTTAAATAATGAATAGGGAGTAAGTATTTTCATCATTACTATTGTAGATTGAAAAGTTGGTCAAGACCTAGTGTTGATTCGTCATTATCTGAATCACTTTCTATTGTCGAATGACTTTTGTCTGAGTTATTACTCTCAGTATCACTTGGATTATTGTTATCTAGGTTATTGTTTTCTTCCTCACTTGTTTGTTCTGTAGAACTTGGGATAACTTCTTCAGGTGCTAACGTAAATTGATTTGTTCTTGCTGCTGTTGCTAGATAGTCCCTGTATAATAGATTGAAGTCCTCAGGGTATTCTCGATATCTAATACTGATCAGTAAAGCTTGTGCTAACCATTGAACTTGTTGTCCGTTATATTCTTCTAATAAAGCTAAAAAGGTTATTAATGTATTGGCTGTACAATCTCTTGCTCTGTAATTGTCAGCTATCCAATTCCAGAAGATTAAAAATTCAGGTGGGAAATTCTGTCGTAGTGGATAACAATTAACACAAGATAAATCCTGATGAATGTGTGCTATAGAAATTAAATGTGGGTGACTTCGATGTATTCTTTCGTGCTCTAAAGTATTGGTTCTTATTATATTAAAGTTCATCCACTAATCCTCATAAGGATCAAAATCGTATGGGGTTTTGTCTGGAATGTCTTCAAAAAGAACTTCTGGTTGGTCGATAATTCTCTTTTGTTTAATTACTTTAGGACAATCTTCTTCCCAATGTCCTTTGTTCTTGCAGATCTTGCATGAAGGTTTCTGTTGGAAAATAAATTCTTCTGCTAATCCTTGAAGTTGGCAATGTCTTTTAAGATGTCCTTTCTGACTGCAAGAGTGACACTTCTTATTTGTATATTGAGTGTTGGTAGGTCCTAGAGATTGGTAGTGTAATTTGAATAACTGAGAATTTCTGTAGAAATATTGGAATACTAGGTCAATTAATTGTTTATCCTGGATTTCTCCTTTCAAAACCTTGTTGTAAACACAGTCAAAAATTTCTGCTTTAATTATTTCTGGATGGTTTTTCTTCAATTGCATTTATTAATGATAGAAAATAAAAGGGATGAAAAATAACCTCGTAAGGTAAGAAAATGAAATTAAAAGGAATAAATAAAAAGTAAAATAAAATAATTATAAAATTCAAAATTTAAAATAAAGAAATCAATAAGAGAATTTAAAATGTTCAAAATGAAAAGTTTAAAAAGTATGCAATTAGAAAATTCTGTAGAATTTTGATTGTATTTTTATCAAATAACTGGTGTAAAATCCACACAACTCACACAAGTTGTCACCAATTAATTTTGGGAGAGTGTGTTTTAATTGACGATAACAAATTTTTAATAGTTTATGTGGATCAGAGTGAATAGGCTAATACTAATGAATTCGATTTATTAGCAAATAATTTTGTTTTAGTGATTTGATAAAAATGATTTATTTAATTTTGTATTTAGTTGAAACTAAT